ATAAAGAAGAGGTGGTATATATATACAATGGAATATTATGCAGCCATCAAAAGGAATGAGATCTTGCCATTTGCAACGACGTGGATGGAACTGTAATAGTTTTTTGAGGATTTATGCTACCTTATTTCTTACAGTTTTCCTTTTTTTATGTATATTCAAAATAAAGAGGGTAATATTATGGAAAAAATATTGTAAACTCCAAGTAATGCATAATAATACATGCCCATGGTTTTAAAAGTCAAAATATCATGTCTTCTACTGAAAAATAGAACAGTCTCTTCTTCTACTTTTCCCCCACATTCAAAGTGCCACTCCTAGGAGGTAATTATTTTCTGTTGTTTTAGCTGTGTGTTTTTTCTCTTTTCCCTCCCTATTTCTACAAAATCTGTTTATGCTGCTCTTCTTGGTTTTCTGTTTTATACATCATCTGCCTACTCTCTGCTGTTAAAGAACAGGATTGAGCTCTTTCACTCCTCCAACAATCACCCCTTCTCCTTCTGTCATCCCATTATAATTATATCACATTTTTGGTCAAATGAATATTCAGTATTTGTATTTCTGTGGTAACATAAATATTGTTCACATCTGAGTCAAGTTGTATAATACTATATTTTCATAGAAAACTTTTTTACCTGAAGTTAGGAATTGCCTTATATTTTCTTTTGTCATGATTATCACTGCTTCTTCTAATAAACTCTTTAAAAGAACTGTTAAAATTTTTGTTCAATACAGTCAAATTTATCAAGTAATATATCCAGTTTGTTTTTTATTTGAAGGCATTCCCTCTGAAGTCTTTCATTCTCTAGTCCTGCTGCATAGCTTTCTCTCCTTGGGATTTCTCTTCAATGTCCTTATCCTGGAAATTCCCAGCTTGGGGAACAAAATAAAGATTATATTTCTTTATTATTCAAATGAAATAGCTTGGCCCCTTCTCTCCTCTGAAGAAATGAACCACAGTGCAGTATAATACTGCAAGGATCCCTTTTTACTTCCTAGTAAGTAATTGTGCCCTGAGATTTTAAACTTATTCCATTTTAAGCATCCTGATTCTAGCCACCAGGTTCTGGAAAGGTGAAATTCTGATGAGTTCATAGATTGACTGTATTCTTTTGTGCATTTGCTGCCATCATTTCTATATTGATGTTGTTGAAGATAGGTATTTCTGAGTTACTCCTGTTAGTCTGATGGTAGTCTCTGAGGGTATAGAGGAGATGGAAAAGTAGTTTCTGGGTTTCTTCTATGTTACCTTAGGCATGAGCACTTAATCTCTTTTAGTTCTTTGGGCCACACACACATATACATGCACATCACAAAACTATTCCTCTGTCATTACTGTTAAATTGGCTTGGTCAAAGCGACTTCTAGCCTTATATACACCTTTGTCTACAAGCAAATCTTTCTCATGACAGTCTAGGTCCTGGTCACGAATCTGGACCTTCCCTGACAAGGAGTTTCTCAGATTCTTTGAGGCCAATTGATCTCATTCTGAGGCCACCAGACCAAGAGAGATGTAATACTGTGACTGAAAAGAAGCAGCAGTTAGGGCCTTGATGAGATCTTGGGTTCCTGTGCATATTCAGTCTTTCCCCTGCTCTTCATTTCATAGGACTTACAGGGAGTGGTTTGCTTTTGTGAAGGCCAAAA